TCATATTCCACCAAATTATCCCCTTGTTCTAGCTCATGGATCTTATGTTCATGGTTTAGAGTATCTATTTCAAGGATACCTCGCATTCACCTTCATTCCTCGTATAGATTAACTATTTCACCAAGTACATTTGAGCTAGGTATGTTCTTCGAGAGAATGTCCTTTACTTTCCTGCAAAAGTTTGTATAGCTCTCCTCGTCGTCATTGTTTTGATTGGTCAATACAAAGAACTCTAAGCCATCATAAGACAACTCATAAAACATAACCACTAGTGCCTTTTTTGGCTTGAGACATGAGGAGGTTGTTAAAGAGTTGTTGTACATGGGGTTGGGTTTGGTGAGCGGAAATTGATATTCATGAGGTTGATTTTTATGGAAATGACAATAGGATGATAGGGTTTGGTGGAATGGCTTCCAACTATAAAGCTGTTGAAAACCAGCGGAGGGAGCTTTATGAAGCCCAATCAAACAGACATGGTTGATTTCACAGAGGTTGACAATTGTTTTCTTGAGAAAGAAGATAGGATATTTCGTAGCTAGGGCTGAGAGAAATACGTATTTTATATACATAGCATACTATAGCTAGCTAGTTATTTACTTTTTTTTTGTTTATTTCATAAACCCCTTGGGACTTTGGGAGTTTTGCTAGCTCAATGTAGGTGAGTGCATTAGTTTCTATCTTTCTCTTATTTTTGTTAAGTATAAGATTGAGAGTGATAGGGTTTGGTGCATCTCTCCACCCTAACCCTCCTCCCCACCCCTCTTTTTAAGCTGTTGTCTTTTTGAAGTATATGGATTTTCCTACATTTAATTGATCAACTTATGGGTCAATTGATTACCAATTGCAAGTAAATAGCAGGTATAATGAATATACAGTGCAGTTACTTGTTCTTAGCAACTTTTAGATTCTAAAGAAAGGTTTATGTCATTCAAAATTGATGATATTTGAAAATTAGGAGAAAAATATTATGCTTCAGAATTCACAGAGTAAGAACTAGTGCATTTGAGAGTGGAACTTCAGCATTAGAATCATGATGTTTCTAATCATCCCGAATTACGAAAGTAATATTCAAGACTTAGTGAGAATGAGAAAATCAACATTTTATCCACTTACTGACAATTGGTTAGGCATGTGCATACTATACACATATCAACGTCAACTATAGAACGAACATTCTTAATCATGAAGATAGTTAAGACAAAACTTTGGATCAAGGTGGGAAATGAATTCTAGAGTGATTCCTTAATATTGTATATGTAGCAAGATTAGGGTTAGTTTCTCTCATTGAGAGACCCTCCTTTTATGTTAATGCATTCTTACAACTAGGTCCTTACAACATTGACTAATTCACTTAGTATCTAAATAACTCAACACTCCCCCTCAAGATGGGCGATAGATATCAATCATCCCCATCTTGTTACAAAAGATATTATACTCTCTAGAACCTAATCCTTTTGTTAA